TAATAATAAGCATTTACTTTGTGTGAACTTCTGATCAAGTGATCCCACACTTTGCCTTTCCAGAATTAATTTACAACTTTTTCAATCGCTATTTAGTTAGTCTTACCTCTTCTTGGAAAAATATTTTTATAAATACTATGATTATTACAATGCTATCTTACATTAAAGTATATCAGGATATAGTGGTGGTGGTGGTGGTTTAGTCACTGAGTCAAGTCTGACTCTTGTGTGCCCATGGACGGTAACCCACCAGGCTCCTCTGTCCAGGCTCCTCTGTCCTCTTGCTTTATTGGCGTGAGTTGCCATTTCCCTCTCCAGGGGATCTTCATAACTCAGGGCTTGAGGCAGTGTCTCCCACTTGGCGGGTAGATTCTTTATTGTCTGAGCCACCAGGGAAGCCCATATAAGAATGTACTTGTGTGTGTATAGATGTATATATATATATATAGTTCTTTAGGAAACTAATGCTGATATTCAGCTTAAGGAAGGGTGAAATCTTCAAGCATCTTTGTGCAAAATAAGGAATTTTCACATTAAGGGGAGGAAATAAGAGCTCTACCATCCTTCAATTAGCCCTATAATCATATAAAAAACTTTTATTTCATGGGAATATTTAAGATTTTACACTTTAAATTCTGTCTTTTTATTTGTTCAAGGAATCAAGAAAAAACAGATAATGTTGGGATAAATAAATTTTTCTATCCCGATTTTTAAAATGCATGGTTGCTGGGAGCCAGAACACGAGACCCCACCCATGACAAGGTCATGAGGACAAGACCTGACAAGCAAGGCAGATCAGGACTTCAGGGATTTCAAAAAGCTGCCCTGGTGCTCACCTTAAAGATGATCTCTGTCTTTCTGATGCTTGCTATATCAGACTACTCCCTAATTTCTGTGACACAGGTAGAAGGCCTCCCCCGATCTCTTTCCAAACAGAATCAACTTAGAACTTTAATCATTATGTCCTCCGGACAGTGGTATCCTATAAGATTATCCAGGAGGAAAGGAGTGCTTCAATTTAAACTCCTTTGCAGGCATTTTATTTTGGCAAATGTGTTTATGCCCTCGGTACTAATATGCATGACTGCTCATAATACCCTAATCATAAAACAGCATTTATCACATAAAGGCCCTAATAGGCACAGAGCCCTTCGGGGGGTGAGGAAGCCCTATTAGAGAACACAAAAATATTATTCTATAAGTGGTTATAGTTAAAGATTTAGAAAAATAAGAGTTTAGAATTGTTAATTCTAACCAGGAATGTTAAACAGGGGCTCTCTCACTGGAGCTGCAGCGTCTTTGTGTGGTACACCTTTTAGATAAATTTAACTGATAACATTGGCAAAAGGACTGACCTTTGTGTTCACTAAACAATAGATTACGGAAAACAGCTTTGCATTCACCTAGGTCATAAAATGTCAATAGGCCCCATGGCCAGGAGATAATGTACAAGACTCACAAAGAAGTTGCAGAAAACACCCCGGTTTCATGAAGGATAAGCTGATGTAATATTAAACTATCGTCCTCTTAAAATTGTACTAACTTAGAATATAAAAGCTACGGTTAAAAAAAAAAAAAAAGGTTTGCCAGACTCTGCTGCACAACCCCAGTCTGGTCTCTCTCTTTCTGTCTTTTTCTCTCTCTGTCTCTCTCTCTCTCTCTGTCTCTCTCTCTCTCTCTCGCTGATGCCGTTCATCCTGAGACTTGGCCCTATCAAGGCTGCGCTCACATGTCTTCTCTCGCTGACGCCATTCATCCTGAGGGTACCCCCCTGGATCCTGCCGAGGCTATAATCATATAAAAAACTTTTATTTCATGGGAATATTGGGGATTTTACACTTTAAATTCTGTCATTTTATTTGTTCAAGGAATCAAGAAAAATCAGAAAATGTTGGGATAAATAAATTTTTCTATCCCGATTAAAAATGCATGGTTATGCTCAAATCTCCCCTAATGTGCTAAGTTGATGAAAATATATACTTTATATTGATATGCAACTTTATTTCGCTGGCTGATTTCTCAGACTGTAACCCAGTATTAAAAACCAGCATATAAAACGTGTTATTATATAACCCAGTATGAAAAGAAAGGCCAAAAAGCAAAATGGCTGTCTGAGGAGGACTTACAAATAGCTGGGAAAAGAAGAGAATCAAAAAACAAAGGAGAAAAGGAAAGATTTAAGCATCTGAATGCAGAGTTCCAAACAATAACAAGGATAGATAAGAAAGCCTTCCTCAGCGATCAGTGCAAAGATATAGAGGAAAACAACAGAATGGGAAAGACTAGAGATCTCTTCAAGAAAATTAGAGATACCAAGGGAACATTTCATGCAAAGATGGGTCCAATAAAGGACAGAAATTGTATGGACCTAACAGAAGCAGATGATATTAAGAAGAGGTGGCAAGAATACACAGAAGAACTGTACAGATAATCCCGATGGTGTGATCACTCACCTAGAGCCAGACATCCTGGAATGTGAAGTCAAGTGGGCCTTAGAAAGCTAAAACAAAGCTGAAAACAAAGCTCATGGAGGCGATAGAATTCCAGTGGAGCTATTTCAAATCCTGAAGAATGATGCTGTGAAAGTGCTGCACTCATTATACCAGCAAATTTGGAAAACTCATGGGTGGCCACAGAACTGGAAAAGGTAAGTTTTCATTCCAATCCCAAAGAAAGACAATGCCAAAGAATGCTCAAATTACCACATAATTGAACTCATCTCACATGCTAGTAAGTAATGTTCAAAATTCTCCAAGCCAGGCTTCAGCAACACGTAAACCATGAATTTGTAGATGTTCAAGCTGGTTTTAGAAAAGGCAGAGGAATCAGAGATCAAATTGCCAACATCCATTGGATCACAGAAAAAGCAAGAGAGTTCCAGAAAAACATTTACTTCTGCTTTATTGACTACACCAAAGCCTTTGACAGTATGGATCACAATAAACTGTGGAAAATTCTTCAAGAGATGGGAATACCAGACCACCTGACCTGCCTCTTGAGAAATCTGTATGCAGGTCAGGAAGCAAGAGTTACAACTGGACATGGAACAACAGACTGGTTCCAAAAAGGGAAAGAAGCACATTAAGGCTATATATTGTCACCCTGCTTATTTAACTTCCATGCAGAGTACATCATGAGAAACTCTGGGCTGGAAGAAGCACAAGCTGGAATCAAGATTGCCGGGAGAAATATCAACAACCTCAGATACACAGATGACACCACCCTTCTGGCAGAGTGTGAAGAGGAACTAAAAAGCCTCTTGATGAAAGTGAAAGAGGAGAGTGAAAAAGTTGGCTTAAAGCTCAACATTTGGAAAACTAAGATCATGGCATCTGGTCCCATCACTTCAAGGGAAATAGATGGGGAAACAGTGGAAGCAGTGTCAGACTTTATTTTTGGGGGCTCCAAAATCACTGCAGATGGTGACTGCAGCCATGAAATTAAAAGACACTTACTCCTTGGAGGAAAGTTATGACCAACCTAGATAGCATATTAAAAAGCAGAGACATCACTTTGCCAACAAAGGTCCTTCTAGTCAAGGCTATGGTTTTTCCAGTGGTTATGTATGCATGTGAGAGCTGGACTGTGAAGAAAGCTGAGCATGGAAGAAATGATGCTTTTGAACTGTGGTGTTGGAGAAGACTCTTGAGAATTCCTTGGGCTGCAAGGAGATTCAACCAGTCCGTCCTAAAGGAGATCAGTCCTGGATGTTCATTGGACTGACTGATACTGAAGCTGAAACTCCAATACTCTGGCCACCTCATGTGAAGAATTGACTCATTGGAAAAGACCCTGGTGCTGGGAGGGATTGGGGGCAGGAGGAGAAGGGGACGACAGAGGATGAGATGGCTGGATGGCATCACTGACTCGATGGACATGAGTGGAGTAAACTCCGAGAGTTGGTGATGGACAGGGAGGACTGGCGTGCTGCGATTCATGGGGTCGCAAAGAGTCAGACACGCCTGAGCGACTGAACTGAACTGAATTGAATGAAACAAATTATTGGATTATTAAAATTACAATATCAGGGCTTTTTTTCAAATAATAACTGGGATATAATAAAGGACAGGGAAGTATGGTGTTCTCTAGTCCACAGGGTCACAAAGAGTTTAAATGATTGAGTGACTGAAAAACAATGATAAAACATATATGTTTTTATATTCAAATGATATAGACAAGCATTCATCACAGTTTTATTCAGAACACACATTGAAGATTAGAGAAATGAAATTTTTGAGAGGAAAATCAGCTTTCATTAGGGGAATATGTCATATACCACAAGGAAGTAAATTAGCTTATTAAGGAAATATAGTGTAATGTGCATTGCTTTGCTGGTTAGAGCTCCTCTGCTGCTGCTGTTGCTAAGTTGCTTCATTCATGTCCGGTTCTGTGTGACCCCATAGACGGCAGCCCACCATGCTCCGTCCCTGGGATTCTCCAGACAAGAACACTGGAGTGGGTTGCCATTTCCTTGCCCAATGCATGAAAGTGAAAAGTGAAAGTGAAGTCGTTCAGTCATGTCCAAGTCTTCATGACCCAATGGACTGCAGCCCACCAGGCCCCTCCGTCTATGGGATTTTCCAGGCAAGAATACTGGAGTGGGGTGCCATTGCCTTCTCCAAGAGTACCTCAGTGATGCTCAATATTGAAGAAAAGGGAAAAAATATATGCCAAGCAAGTGGAAATGAGTCCTTGAGTGAGACTAAAAGCTTAAACCTGCTTAATCATAAGAAACTGACGTCTGTTGTTGTGATTTCTTCCAAACTACACTTCCATTCTTTGTTTCCATTAGACTCAATCCCAGGCTCTGGAAATCTGTATGTGAGTGTGCATGTGTGCTGAGTCAGGTCCAATTCTTTGCGATTCCATGGGCTGTAGCCTGCCAGACTCCTCTGTCCTTGGATTCTCCAAGCAAGAATACTGGAGTGAATTGGATTCTCCAGGCAAGATGGTATATTTTGGGGTTGCTTTTGAGACACTTATTTTTCTTTTTTCTTTTTTTACTGGGAAACTGTCAAAAGAGAACTCTTCTTCATTGTACCAAGGTTTCTCATAAATATTCTTCTTAAAGCCTGTTTCACATCATTGTTCCTGAGGCTATAGATAAATAGATTCAACATGGGATTCACAAAAATGCAAATCACTGACACAATTTTCCCTTGTTCCACAGATTGCTTGTTTGATGCTCTCAGATACATGCAAGTCATGGACCCATAGAACATAGTGACAGCTGTCAGGTGGGAGCCACAGGTGGAGAAGGCTTTGTGCTGCCTTTTGCTGGAACGGATCCTCATAATGGTGACAAAAATGAAAATGTAGGAGATGCGGATGGTGATTAGGGAACCTGTGAGGTTAATCCCTGTGGACACAAACAGGGCAGTTTGCTTTATGTAAGTGTCAGAACATGTCAACATTAAGAGGGGCGGATTCAGCACAGTAGAAATTGTTGATGGTGTTGGATCCACAAAAGGACAAGTGGGAGGTCAATATTACCTGCATTGTGCCCACCACAGACCCCCAGAAGTAGGGGAAAGTGACCAGGCAGATGCACAGTGACCTGGATATCCTTCTGTTGTGATGCAGGGGGTTGCAGATTGCCATGTACATGTCGTAGGCCATAGCACCAAGCATGTAATACTCAGTAAGAAGAAGAGTCACAAAAACAAAACATTGTGCCAGGCACCCCATGTAGGAAATGGTTTTTTTCTCTAACAAGAAGTTAAGGAGCATCTGAGGAGAGACATTTGTAGATTAAAAAATGTCTACACATTCTATATGGGTGAGGAAAAGGTACATGGGGGTTTGCAGCCAGGGAGTGAATCTGATTAATAAAATCATCCCAAAGTTCCCATCAGTGTGATGAGATAAATCAGGAGAAACACCATAAAAAGGATGGTCTGCAGCTCTTGTTTACTAGTAAGTCTCAGCAGAATAAACTCAGTTGCCTCTGTGCCATTGTGTGAGGAAAATGTATCCTTTTTCATATTCTCTAATAAGAGAAGAAACGTTTTCAGATATAAAAAGAAATAGGTTGTATGAAATTCAAAAATAGACAAAATAAATCAGCACTAAACCAAACTGGTTTTCAAAAGAGAGATCTAACTAAGTTGTTACTACCCTGAGAAATATAAGAGTTTCATTAGATGCCTCAGATGGTTGGTGGTGTGGAGTAAACTGGATAATCTATTTCATGAGCAAGTTTTGATTTCCATGCAGCATCAATGCAGGCTGCTCCACAATCTCCACTAAAACATATAGAATCTGACTTAACTCTTTGATGTCCCTCATTAGACTATGAACTAGGAAGCACTGATGCTCAAGCAAACTACTGTCTTTGTTTGATCATGACATAATGCTGGATCAGGGAATGGAGAAAGAGGTTGGTTTTCTGTACAGAGGTTCTATTTTTGTCAATAAAGGTGAACATTCCATAACCAGAAGTAGTATACTCTTCTTTAGAGCCTGTGTATATTTATTCAGATTCAATTTCTTCCTTATTTCTTACTTATTTCCCAGCAGCAATAAACTTCTCCCAGTTCCCTGACACTCTATCCCTCCCATTTCCTTTGTTTCAAATCAACAGGATTATTTCTTTGTCTGGTCTAGGATTATTTCTTTGTCTGGTCCCCACTATGATCTCACTGATCTCTCGATCTTTATCTTGATGTTCACTGTGTTTAGCATCTTCGTTGTTTGCTGTGATACTGTTTCTGTTCTATGCTTTGGTTTTCTGGCCACAAGGCATGGGGTCTTGGCTCCCCATCCAGGGGTTGCACTGGTGTCCCTGCACTGGAAAGAGAAGTTTTCACCCCTGGACTGCCAGGGAAGCCCCTCACTAATTTCTTATTAATTCACACATCTCAGTTTATTTATATTACATATATATGTATATGTGTGTGTGTGTGTGAGAGTGTGTGTGTGTATTTCAGATTCACATTTCAATTAATCTCATATCTTTGACTTCATACCTTATAGCTAAACTATCTGAAAGTCTTGTCTGCTCTACCTTTAACACATTACTTATTGAATATTACAGCAGCTTGTCAGCATTTTCTCTGCTACCAGTCAAACCTAAACTACTCTAATGCCTAAGCTACTATAATCATTTTCCTTCTTCCACATTTGAAATCTGCTATCCTCCAACATAAGCCAATTATCTTTTTTTTGCATATTTACTCTTTCTTTTAATTTTTAAATTATGAAAAGATGCTAACACACTTGCAGGAGCCTTGGAAAATACATATCAAAGTTATATATATATTACCACTATATATTACAATTTTTAAATAGGTAAATTAAGACCTTTAGTTGGTGTCTTAATATCAAACTCCCAAAAATTAATTGAATGAATATACAAAGAAGTGGAAGGATATATTAGACTGAAAAGCACTGTGAACCAATTCAATATAATTAAGATTTGTACAATTTTGACATAACAATGTTACACAAATTCTATTCAAGTCCCCATAGAGTATAGATGAGAAGACACTGGAACATATCCAGAGTATAAGATTACCACTGATCTTTTATAAACACAAATCACATCGTGATGGTGACCTGGTAAAATGGCGCTACACTTTCCATCACACTTGGGCTTAAAATTTAACTTCTTATCAGGGTCTGCTAGGGGTTGTGTGATGTCTTCTCATACATTTCTCCAAATTCTTCCATCAATTTCTCTTCAGCCCATTTTTCCTACTATATTGACTGTCTTCTTGTGCCTGAAACACGACTAATATGTTACTACCTAAGGGCCTTTGCACATACTGTTCTATCTGCCTGGAAAGTTCTTCTCTCAGATTGTGAAATGATTCACTTCATCACTTCATTTAGATCTCTCTTCTCATGACACGTCCTCTGGAAAGCTTATCTAGGCCTCTTATCTAAGTTATTAAATACCAAATAGCTCTCTAATCAAGCATTATGATCTATTTTTCTTATATCACTTATCACATCTAAAAGTATTATTTTTTATAACCCCTTCCATCCTTGGAATACTAGTCACATGAGGGAATGGACTTTATTTGTACTATATCCCCAGAATTTGGGTGAATGCCTGAATCATGGTCAAGAAAACAGTATCCATTAGTTGTAGAAATGATGAACTGGTGAGGTAATCTTGCCAATCACATCAGCTGATTTTCCATGATATGTATATTTCTTGCCTCCCTGATGTTGCCAATGGAGACTGAGTAACTACAAAATTCTCTAGAGGGAGCACAAATAAGAGGAGATTTTAATAACACAATCTAGTGATAGTTGTACATGTTTTAAATCTCAATAGTTAATAGTAAAACTTGTAGGTTGAATCCTTGGAAGCAGGTAAAAGCTGATTGAAAAATGAGTTATCTTTAATCACTACAGTAAACTACAAGTCCAGAAGGACATAAAATGATCACACTTCTTAAAAGACAACTCTATTGCTTTATTAAATTCATGTTTTCATAAATATAATACTCAGAGGAGGGGCTATCAACTCTGGCTTCACACTGGAATCAGATGTGGAGTTTCTAATAGCACTAATCCTTAGCTCAACTGAGGTCAGAACACACATTCGCATGTTTAACAAGCTTTCTACAGGGTTTTAATGTATGGCCAGGGCTGAAGTGCTATGTGAAACAACTGAAATGATATGCTTGAATTAAGGAAGTTTTTAACACATAGATTTACCCTCTGAAAACTTACACTTTCCCCATTCAGTGATTTCTGAGATATTGCCACAAATTCTTCCTAATTATGGAACTTGCTGTCATCAACAGTACACAAAGTTCTTTTTCTATTATTCTGATTAAGGCAAAATCCCAGCCTCTGACTTCAGTCTGTATAATATTCTGTTGGTTTCACAAAGCTTGTAAAGAAAATATGTTTCTGAGAGACTCCACAATTTTGTCTTGCACTCAAGAAATAGAAAGAAAAGAAGAGAAAACCTTATGAAGGACACACCATTCTATTATTCATTACATGCGATTCGGGGCTTAGTTTATGGGATTCACATGGGAAACACCCATTGTAAAAGTAGAGTTAGTATAGTTATTTTCCAACTTAATAGCAGAAGTAAGGGAGTGAAGGAGAGGGATTCATTTTTATCATTCTCACTGAAGTATTGGCTGAGTGGTAAGGAACCTGCTTGCAATGGAGAAGACATAAGAGATGTGTGTTCGAACTCCAGGTCTGGAAGATCCCCTGGAGGAGAGCATGACAACCCACTCTAGCATTCCTGCCTGGGGAATCCCATGGACAGAGGGGCCTGACGGGCTACAGTCAATGGAGTACAGAGCAGGACATGACTGAAGTGACTTAGCACAAAGTATTCAGGGTAGTGAAAATGTCTGTGCAGAATGCTTGTGTAAATTGTTGAGATCTTCTTCTTCATTCAAAGAGGAAGGTGAGTGAGAAAATGGGAGAAATAAGAATATTCTTCCAAAAGATCACAGTTAAAGGTATAACATCATTGCAGTTCAGAGAGTAGAACTACTGAAAACAACCACACTTATGCTTAGGGAAGGTATGAATTAAAGGTCTATACACAATGCAGGGGGATTAAAAAAATCCTCTATAATTTTTTTCTAAGAATGTTGGCCAAATTGGATGATTCAGCTGTAAGTTCAATAAAGCCCATAGCAGTGTTTGAAAGGGACACACGCACAGCAGAGCAAAGCATATTCCTCTTGAGTAAAGCAATGTGCACCTGCCTTGGTAGTTCTGGATACACCAAAGCTACCACATTTCAGTGCAGAAAACCTAATACAAGACCTTGCAGGTTAAGAAGGAAATGTGTTCACTTTTTTTTTCCCTCTCTCACCTTTAATCGTACACTCATGTACCCAAATTCCTTTAAACTCATCCCTTAAAAATAATGTACAAAATTATCATATAAACTGGAAGTACATTTTCTTGTGCCAAATTCTAAGGTTCTAAGCTTGGAGAAAAAAATGTTATAAGGGAAGTATGATGTATGGACTTCTTGAATACCTAGAATTTGCTGAAGTTCCACAGGTAAGCCTACTCTAAATCCTATCTGTGATTTAGAAATCCACATATATTGTGAAGTGGGTCTGTAACTAAGGTCAAGGATGTTTGCAAGACTTGCTTGATCTCTCAGTACCTCACAAGTCACTTATTGCCTCCATCTGAAAGACTGGGGTCGATCTGCCTACTGTTTGGTTTTTATGTGGCAATTCTTAACACTCACTACTAACTCCGTTTTATGCTGCAAAGAAGAAATATTGAACAATATTTCTTAAGAGTTCTTGATTTTCAGAACTGTCAGACTTAACCTATGAAGGGATTATGATTTCTTAGCTCCATGAAGGCCCCTCAAATAGGATTTATACAAGAAAGGTTAACTTTGGGAGATTCATGCCAGAAGATTTCAGCACAAAATCACCTAAGGGACATTATCAGTGCTCCCTCTGGAGGTGTCAACAAAAGTCACTTCTTAATTAACAGGATCATTATTTATGGGTTAATCATTAGATGCACAAAGTGTCTTTTAGTAAGTATAAAAACACATAGTACTGACTTTGATACTAGGAATAGTTCTCAGGCAGATAATTTTTTTTTAATGATTAATGGTCTCTGTTTATCTTCAGTTAGAATAGTGTTTCCTTCTTCTGAATTCACATTGTTGTTTTCCTGCCTCCTCTGTGGTATATGCCTCCTTTCATAACTATTCTATTTGTTTTAAGGATAGTAAGTGTCTGAGGACAAAATTAATGTCAATTCCACAT